CCACGTTGGCATGGTTCCTCCGTCTGGGTCGTGGTGATGGTACTGCAGAACCAGGACTGTGGCAATGACCGACAGACCCACGATCACCATGGTACTCGCAAAGTACTGAGCTGAAACACAGGTGAGAATATACAGCCTCAGTCCTGGGTCTACAGCCTCAGTCCTGGATCTACAGCCTGAGTCCTGGGTCTACAGCCCCAGTCCTGGGTCTACAGCCTCAGTCCTGGGTCTACTACCTCAGTCCTGGATCTACAGCCTCAGTCCTGGGTCTACAGCCTCAGTCCTGGATCTACAGCCTCAGTCCTGGATCTACAGCCTGAGTCCTGGGTCTACAGCCCCAGTCCTGGGTCTACAGCCTCAGTCCTGGGTCTACTACCTCAGTCCTGGATCTACAGCCTCAGTCCTGGGTCTACTACCTCAGTCCTGGATCTACAGCCTCAGTCCTGGATCTACAGCCTCAGTCCTGGGTCTACAGCCTCAGTCCTGGATCTACAGCCTGAGTCCTGGGTCTACAGCCCCAGTCCTGGGTCTACAGCCTCAGTCCTGGGTCTACTACCTCAGTCCTGGATCTACAGCCTCAGTCCTGGGTCTACTACCTCAGTCCTGGATCTACAGCCTCAGTCCTGGATCTACAGCCTCAGTCCTGGATCTACAGCCTCAGTCCTGGATCTACAGCCTCAGTCCTGTATCTACAACCTCAGTCCTGGACAGCAGTAGAAGTAGTAGTAATATGAAGCAGTACCTATGAGAGGGACGGAGTCGGACGTCGCTGGCATGATCTCTGCCACAAGCAGCATGAAGACCGTGAGAGATAGAAGAACTGTGATCCCTGTGATACACACATGAGAAAAAAGATCAGAGAGAGATCAGAGAGAGACCAGAGAGAGACCAGAGAGAGACCAGAGAGAGACCAGAGAGAGACCAGAGAGAGACCAGAGAGAGACCAGAGAGAGACCAGAGAGAGACCAGAGAGAGACCAGAGAGAGGGACCGGAGATAGAACAGAGACAAACCAGAGAAAGACCAGAGAGACCAGAGACCAGAGAGAGAGAGAACAGAGGGAGACCAGACAAAGACCAGAGAGAGATGAGAGAGATTTCAGGGAGAGACCAGAGAGAGACCAGAGGGAGACCAGAGAGATTTAATATTTCACACCTTCTGGTGACCTACAACAACCGAGTTTAGAACAAATCAGACTTTGTACGTGTAAATGGGAGCACATGTATAATCTGTGAGTGTGTTTATATGTATACAGTCTCCTTTCGATGACCATGTGACTAATTCAAATTCTATGAGCGACAATTGATGGTACATGTGTTGAGATGAAGATGTCGATTTTCATCCAAGAGAGAGAGCACTGTGATGCAGGAGGGTCCAAGGACAGTGAGGATCCAGGACTTTGGGCAGTGGTCTTCCTGCTCCTCACCGACCAATGGCTCCTGTGTTTGTTATTATTGCATTTTATTTCACCGTCACAGCGACCACTTTAACTGACGATGAAAAGATTATTTCTGCTCCTTGATTTTCAGAACCAGTCAGTTCTGATGGAGACGAGCTGTGTTTAAAGCTGGAGCTGATGCCACAAATCTGTAAATAAGACCAGATTAGAGCAAGACTGGGAAAAACAGAAATGAAAGAGGAGGAAATAGTCTGGTTCGTAGCGTTAAAGGAATTTCTCTCCTCTGATGTGTGTGTGTTTGTGTGTGTGTGTGTGTGTGTGTGTGTGTGTGTGTGTGTGTTTGTGTGTGTGTGTTTAGTTGCAGTGACATCTAAAGTCTGCTTCAGATAAAGGTCATCAGCGAAAGGTTTAGTGTCTACCGTCTTCCTCCTGCTCAGAGAGAAGAGAGAGAGAGACCAGAGAGAGACCAGAGAGAAACAAGAGAGAGAACAGTGAGAGAGACCAGAGAGAGACCCAAGAGAGAGAGACCAGAAAGAGACCAGAAAGAGACCACAGAGACCACAGAGAGACAAGAAAGGGACCAGAGAGAGGCCAGAGAGAGACCAGAGAGATCAGTAAGAGACTAGAGAGAGACCACAGAGAGATCAGAGAGAGACCAGAGGGAGATCAGTGAGAGACCAGAGAGACCTGTAAGAGACCAGGGAGAGACCAGTGAGAGAGACCAGAAAGAGACCAGAAAGATACCAGAAAGAGACCACAGAGAGAGCAGAGAGAGAGAGCAGAGAGAGAGACTAGAAAGGGACCAGAGAGACCAGAGCGAGACCAGAGAGAAAGACCAGATAGAGAATCAAGAAATAGACCAGAGAGAGACACACTAGAAAGAGACCAGAGAGAGAGACCAGAGAGAGAGACCAGAGGGATCCGTGTGGTCTGTACCCAGTGAGATCTTCTCCCCAGAGTCAGCAGGCAGCAGGAACACCAGCAGAGCCAGACTGGAGATCAGGGCACAGGGCAGCAGCAGGTTCAGACCATAGTACAGAGTCCTCCTCCTCATCACCACCGTGAAGGTCACATCAGGGTACGGCTCCAGGCAGCAGTCATAGAAGCGCTCGCTCCTCCGTCCTGGTACCTCTGCGACACACATGGTATGGGCTTTTAACAAACACATGTGTTCAACCCACATATGGTCAAAACAACCAAACTATAAATGTTTTTTTTCCCTTTCTGACCAAAATATTTATCAGAATAACTGTCTCGTGCTGGTCTCTCTCTCTCTGTAGTATTTCTCTGGTCCCTCCCTCTGGTCTCTCTCACGCTCTTTCTCTCTGGTCTCTCCCTAGTCTTTCTCCGCTCTCTATCTGGTCTCTCTCTCTCTGTTCTCTCCCTAGTCTTTCTCTGCTCTCTCTCTCTGGTCTTTCTCTCTAGTCTCTCTTTTTAGTCCCTCTCTCTGGTCTCCCTAGTCTTTCTCTGGTCTCTCTCTGGTCCCTCCCTAGTCTTTCTCTGCTCTCTCTCTGCTCTCTCTCTGGTCTCTCTCTCAGTTCAAAAGGAGCTAGTCAATGATTATTTAGTCTAAATTAAACATTTCCTTTTTAAAATCCCTCACTTTGACTTTGACTTCATCAGTAAAAGTTACGTAACCCTCTCCACAGTGTGTCTCAGCAGGGCCACCGTACATCGCTCTGATAAGGTCAATGATTTCAAATATTATAGATTCAAACTCCATCTTTATCCTCAGCGTGGGGCTCAGAATAAAGACCATGAGAAGCAGCAGATTCAGGATCCAAAACACACAAACACAGACACCTGCTGCTACTGAAACAGAAAACTTAGATCCACATCAACTTTGATCTGTTCAGTGTTTTTGTCTGAGATCCACTGTGCAGCACCTTTTGAAACATCAGAGACAGGATAAAGCCTGAAGTTAAACCTCACGCCCCGTTTCCACCGTGAAGGCCTCTGATGGGTCCAGATCTGGGTTTACAAAGACACTATCAAAGTATAACAATGCATCAGTTTTATACGGCTCTTTTCTGGACACTAAAAGTTTCACTCCATGTTCACTGTAGCCACAGCTGCCCTGGGGCACACTGACAGAAGCGGAGCAACCAGCCTGTGCCATCGGCCCCGCCCACCACCACCACCACCACCAACCATTCACACACACACCATTCTGATGTGGGTGAAGTGTCTTGCCTAAGGACACAGCCGCAGTTTGGCACTTAACAGCCGCCCCACTGTGGCAACTGGTGTTCCTCGAGGTCTCCCATCACAGTACTAAGTGACCAACCCCTGCCCTTCTTAGCTTCAGAGGTCTGACAGGATCTGGATTTCACCTGCAGGTAGCGCCACAAACAGTGTATATAACAACAGCAGGATCACAGAGAGCAATAAACCACAGATTTAAGTGCGACACAGACGGTTACTGAGCTATGGAGTTTACTTCTCCTAAGTCTATAGGAGACAGAGAGAGGGGCCAAACTTCGTCCATGAGCACTTCCCTATGTATGTGACAATGAAACTTGGAAATTCTCACACTTCCCCTGGCCCACAGCTCTCTATGGTCTCTCTCTCTGGTCCCCCTCTGATATCTCTGGTCTCTCTCTCTCTCCCTGGTCCATGCCTCCCCCTCCTCCGCCCTGCAACTGCTACACACCTCTCTACAGCAGTTTCCTGGTCTCTCCCTGGTCTCTCTCTGGTCTCTCCCTGGTCTCTATCTTTGGTCTCTATCTTTAGTCTCTCTCTGCTCCAGCAGTCTCTCTCTCTCTTGTCTCCCCCTCCTCCCCCTCGGTGACTACACACCTCTCTACAGCAGTCTCTCTCTCTCTCTCTCTCTCTTGTCTCCCCCTCCTCCCCCTCGGTGACTACACACCTCTCTACAGCCGTTTCCATCTCGACTCAGCGACACAGAAGTAAACGCTGAGCTGCGAGGCGGAGATTTTCAATTAGTTGTGATGTGAACGGCCCATTGGCTCCTGTCTGGCTCCTCTCTGTGGGGGCAGGGCCTTTCATCAGGTACAGAGCCTTTGAGAATACAGCAGGGACCAGAGAATACAGCAGGGACCTGACATAAATACATTCTGGGTGCTTTGATCCGAGGAGCTCAGTGAACGCTTTAGCTTCACATGTGACAGGAATTTGTTTGATTTTTAATGTTTAAAATAGAAACAAGACTTTGAAGTGGTTTAAATGCACCAGGATAAAACAGTTTTGAGGCCATTTCAAACCACACTTGTTTGAACTGAACTAAAACAAGAAAGTTTCTCTGTCAGACCAAACCGTGATGGATCCTATATTTTCGTTTGCATACATACGGTATATGGAGAAACTTTTTATTACAGTGCCTTGCGAAAGTATTCGGCCCCCTTGAACCTTTCAACATTTTGCCATATTTCAGGCTTCAAACATAAAGATATAAAAATTTTATTTTTCGTCATGAATCAACAACAAGTGGGACACAATCGTGAAGTGGAATGAAATTTATTGGATAATTTAAACTTTTTTAAACAATAAAAAACTGAAAAGTGGGGCGTGCAATATTATTCGGCCCCTTTACTTTCAGTGCAGCAAACTCACTCCAGAAGTTCAGTGAGGATCTTTGAATGATCCAATGTTGTCCTAAATGACTGCTGGAGATAAATAGAATGCACTTGTGTGTAATCAAGTCTCCGTATAAATGCACCTGCTCTTTGATAGTCTCAGGGTTCTGTTTAAAGCGCAGAGAGAACCATGAAGACAAAGGAACACACCAGGCAGGTCCAAGATACTGTTGTGGAGAAGTTTAAAGCCGGATTTGGATACAAAAAGATTTCCCAAGCTTTAAACATCTCAAGGAGCACTGTGCAAGCAATTATATTGAAATGGAAGGAGTATCAGACCACTGCAAATCTACCAAGACCCGGCCGTCCCTCCTAACTTTCATCTCAAACAAGGAGAAGACTGATCAGAGATGCAGCCAAGAGGCCCATGATCACTCTGGATGAACTGATGATACTTTCGCAAGGCCCTGTAACTCTGCCTTTTGGGCGTTCCCAACTGTCCTGGTTGGGAATAAGTTGGAATAAGAGAAACTGTATGTTGTGCCATCTTTAGACAGGTTGCAACTCAAGACAAAATGGATCTTTTTGAATCAGAGAATCAAACAGTTCAAACACAGGAAATGTAATGATAAGAAACACACATTGGTCCATAGGGAGCGGGACGACCACTGTGCTTAGACCCTCCTGCATGAGAGAGAAACCACTCAGAAACACAGAGGGAGAAAAGTGAGAAACCTCGAGAAGGCCCACACTGACAGAGAGAGATCCGCTCCCAAAAAGCTATTTCTATGTATCCTGACTCTCGCCAGACCCTTGTAGTTCGCTGAGCTTCACACGAGAGTCTGGGTCTCCTTCATGAGAGTTAGACGGTAAAGTACAGACGTTAGAGTACAGAAGTTACAGTGCAGACGTTAGAGAGGAGAAGAGAATAAAAAGAAACCAACTTGTTTTCAAAGCTGTCCTTGGATTTGTGCATCAAGAACGTTTCACTTGTATTTTCTTACTTTAGAAATGGTAAAATGCAGTAATTAACTTTGAGAAAGCATCCACAGAAGGTGAAGACTCTTTCATCCACTGTTTACTGAGCTTTCTGAACATTGGTGTAGGTGTGAAGAACCTTGAGATGACTCCTGTTGTGATGAAGAAAAGTATTTGTCAAGTTTAACACTGCTCCTATGAAGACAACAAATGAAACCTGCGACTTATTTCACAAAACAAAGTGTTTTAGAGTGGAATTTACAACCAAATTACATCTGTGACATGTTAGTGCCACGTGAACCAACTCGGACTCTGAGGAGCACAGGGACTGGCCTCCTGCTGGGACTGAGGAGCACAGGGACTGGCCTCCTACTGGGACTCTGAGGAGCACAGGGACTGGCCTACTGCTGGGACTGAGGAGCACAGGGATTGGCCTCCTGCTGGGACTGAGGAGCACAGGGACTGGCCTCTTTCTGGGATTCGGAGGAGCAAAGGGACTGGCCTCCTACTGGGATTCTGAGGAGCACAGGGACTGGCCTCCTGCTGGGACTCTGAGGAGCACAGGGACTGGCCTCCTGCTGGGACTCTGAGGAGCACAGGGACTGGCCTCCTGCTAGGACTGAGGAGCACAAGCACTGCCCTCCAGCTGGGATTCGGAGGAGCACAGGGACTGGCTTCCTGCTGGGATTCTGAGGAGCACAGGGACTGGCCTCCTGTTGGGACTCTGAGAAGCACAGGGACTGGCCTTCTACTGGGACTCTAAGGGAGGAGCACAGGGACTGGCCTCCTGCTGGGACTCTGAGAAGCACAGGGACTGGCCTCCTGCTGGGACTCGGAGGAGCACAGGGACTGGCCTCCTGCTGGGACTCGGAGGAGCACAGGGACTGGCCTTCTGCTAGGTCTCTGAGGAGCACAGGGACTGGCCTCCTGCCGGTGCCCAAAGTCAGGACTAAACATGGGGAGGCACCGCTTCAGATACATGCAGCTAAATTCTGGAACAGTCTTCATGAAAATGTGAGACAGGCTTGTTCTCTAACAATTTTCAAATCCAGGTTTCGCTGCAACAACTGAAGCATTGTTTCACAACCTCTTTAATGTGCTGGGTGATGTAATCTTGTTATGTCTTGTGTGATTGTTCTCATCTCTCTACAGACGTGTGTCGTATGATGCTGTTAAAATCAAACACAGCTGTTGGAATGAGGTCAACGTGAGACGGACCACTTCCCAATGAAGCTTTGCATTCAGGGTCCTACAGTGTTTTAAAGGCTCTTATACAAAACATTAGGAACACTATGTACTGTGTCTCAGCATTCACAAAGTGCTGGACGTTACATTATTTATCCTCCACATTATCAAACGCCATTCTGCTCCAAGGACGCCCTGCAGAATACAGGGTCAGGACATGTCAATGGACTTTGCTTTAAATCACAGCAGCAGTCGTCTCTGAGGACATAGGGCCATAGGGAGCGAGATGGCTGAGGCTGTGGATCCAGGACTGAGGCCGTGGATCCAGGACTGATGCTGTGGATCCAGGACTGAAGCTATAGATCCAGGACTGAAGCTGTAGACCCAGGACTAAGACTGTAGATCCAGGACTGAGACTGTAGACCCAGGACTAAGACTGTAGACCCAGGACTAAGACTGTAGACCCAGGACTGAGACTGTGTGTCTCTGTGTTAGTATTGACAGAACCATTCCATGACCAATATCCTCTGAACACCTCTATAGACTGTCTCTAGAAAAATGATTCTGTGTCCAGTAAAAAAGAAGATATTGCAAATCAGTTAAATGGATTATCCTGTAACTCCCAACGAGACGTGCGTTCACCGCTGCCCTGGGGCCACTTAACAGGAGTATGGCTGCCACACCATTAACACTACTACACTAGAACTACAACCAACAAGAATATGGTGCATAAATACTAACAATCACTAAATGATAGAATAATCACCAATAAATAAATCACCAACACAGAGTGGATGAAAGTACATATGAAGCTGAAGCGCAAATTCATACAGATGAAAGACCGGCCACGGCTCTCACCCGTCCAAGGCCTGCCAATCACACAGCCCGGCCAGCCTCTTGCCAACCCACTGACAGCAAAGCGGGAAGTCTTTTTTCTTCCGGCGCCAGCTTCCGCTGTGCAGCTCGTCACTTCAGCTCTCTTCTCTTTCCGACCTTTTCTCTATTTATTTCGTGTAGATGTGCTTTTTATTTTCCTAGGCAAGCGTTATATAGTGCATTAGTGCACACGGGAAACCTAGTCCCGTTGACTTTCTCACCTTTTGTAAATTTCTCCTGTGTGAGATTAACAAAGTACATCTTGTCTTATCTTAAAAGCAGCCACTCCCCGATAAACAGCGCTCCCTGAAGCTCTTAACACCCACCACCTCCCAAGCGCCTCCTCAGCTCCTTGTTCCTACTAGGGGCTCCTGCTCTGGCTCCTGCTCTGGCTCCTGCTCTGGCTCCTGCTCTGGCTCCTGCTCTGGCTCCTGCACTGGCTCCTGCACTGGCTCCTGCACTGGCTCCTGCACTGGCTCCTGCACTGGCTCCTGCACTGGCTCCTGCCCTGGCTCCTGCCCTGGCTCCTGCCCTGGCTCCTGCCCTGGCTCCTGCTCTGGCTCCTGCCCTGGCTCCTGCTCTGGCTCCTGCCCTGGCTCCTGCTCTGGCTCCTGCGCCACATTCACAGCATGCTTCTAGCCACCACCAATGCTTGACCCCGGGGGGTCTGAGATCATCTACAGCAGCAGACGATCTCCCCTCTGCAAATGTCACTGCCGGGGTCAATGCGCCAATCAAATAAATCTTTTTCATGCATTAACGTTTCTGTCTTGGTCTCTTCAGATTGAAATGGGGTAAACGCTAAAGGACCAGTTTATCCAGAAGAGACCAGGGGAATTGAAATTAAATAATATCTATTGTGTGAGAAAAAAACAACTGTACACTTTATTGTTCACTTAAAGTGATTGTCTGGAGTTTGTCAGAAAGAGAGATAGAGAGGTCCTTGATTTGAAAAAAACGACGCAAGCTCCCTCCCCTTCCTTTCTGATTGGTCTATGCCTACGTTTCCGTAACACTTTAAAATCTTAATCAGAGAACACATTATACTTATACATTATTAATACACATGCACAGAGGTTTTCAGAATGATTTGTTAAAGTTTTCATGAAAAAAAAAAACGATCGCGGCAAACCCGGAAGTGCTATTATCATGAATTGCACATTATAGGACACATCTGCAGAGGATCTGATTATGGATATAGGTTCAGTATATAAATGATTATGGATATAGGTTCAGTATATAAATGATTATGGATATAAGTTCAGTATATAAATGATTATGGATATAGGTTCAGTATATAAATGATTATGGATATAGGTTCAGTATATATATGGGTAACTCAGTGCAGATGTTCAGAATTCTTTGTTCAGTTTTCATGTAGTTCCAGAGCCTAATGGAGGCTTGATTCGGAGGCTCCGTAAAAACAAACAACTGAGCATGTGCGCAGCTACGAGCATCGGCGCCGATGATTGACAGCCCTTGGCATGACTCGATTGGTTAACCTCGACGGCACCGTGGATTCTGAGCTATAGCTAAGAGAAGGGAAGGCGGGACTTTCCCGTAATACTAGAATTAATAAAATGACTTATTTTATATCAGGAGGTCAATTTAACACATTTCCTAAAATTTGTAATTCATTTAGAGTTACATACTATCACTTTAAGATGCAGCCAGTAAACGCAATTTTTTAAAATACTGTTGGGAAATGTCCCTAAACCTAAAAGTAGTCAAGTTATCATGTGTTTTCAAATAGGAATGGACACGAGCAGATACTTCTAACCTCAGAAAATAAATCATAAATATTTTGGATCAGCCCGATAGAAAAAACCCAATAGGATGTGTCATGAGCAATACATAAAGAAAGAAAGAAAAGAGAGAGAAGTGTGGCTGCTCACCCAGGAGGTCCCACTCCCCGTTGGTGATGTAGCCGCTGGTGTCTGCGTGGACCATCTGCAGATCCAGGGACCAGCCGCCGTACGTCCAGGAGCCGAACTTCAGCTCACATCTCTGTACGTCGAACGGGAACCAGCGAACGTCGATGTAACACGTGCTTTTGAAGAGGCCTAAGGCGACAAGGGCAAACCAGTAAGAGACCAGAGAGAGACCAGTAAGAGACCAGAAAGAGACCAGTGAGAGACCAGAGAGAGACCAGAGAGAGACCAGAGAGAGACCAAAGAGAGAGACCATGAGAGACCAGAGAGACCAGAGAGACCAGAGAGACCAGAGAGAGAGAGACCATGAGAGAGACCAGTAAGAAACCAGAGAGAGACCAGTGAGAGACCAGAGAGAGACCAGTAAGAGACCAGAGCGACCAGAGAGAGACCAGAGAGAGACCAGAGAGAGACCAGAGAGAGATCAGTAAGAGACCAGAGAGAGACCATGAGAGAAACCAGCGAGAGACCAAAGAGAGAGACCATGAGAGACCAGAGAGACCAGAGAGAGAGAGACCATGAGAGAGACCAGTAAGAGACCAGAGAAGGACCAGAGAGAGACCAGAGAGAGACCAGAGAGAGACCATGAGAGAGACCAGCGAGAGACCAAAGAGAGAGAGACCATGAGAGACCAGAGAGATTCCAGAGAGAGACCAGAGAGAGATCAGAAAGAGACCAGAAAGAGACCAGAAAGAGACCAGAATGAGACCAGAGAGAGACCAGAGAGAGAGATCTCACTGAAATAAACCAAGTTCTTATCTTTATGTTTACATTTCCGTTGCTAATCTACAGATAAACGTTCTAGCTAGCTACATTAAAATGAGCTTTTTCAAACATTATACCATAAAAAATATTATGAGAGCGGTTCGTACAAAGTCTGTTTTGAAATTACAGGTTTTCAACCCGAGGCTCAAACAGAAGTCAGGGAAACGAAACGCTTTCGTAACGATAATTATGTTTTTGTGCAAAATAATGTAAAAGCATCGCTCCGCTGAACCAAACCAGAAGCATCCAGGTCTCCATGGAAACGACTCAAAGCTGGAGTAGGAGGTCCATGCTCTTTACTCTTCTTCAAAATACAACATCTACACAAGGAGGTGCGCTATAATCTTTTCATCCATGTATCAACAGTTATCAGAGAGAGACCAGAGAGAGTGACCACAGTGAGACCAGAGAGAGACCAGAGAGAGACCAGAGTGAGACCACAATGAGACCAGTGACAGACCAGAGAGAGAGACCAGAGAGAGAATAGAGAGAGAGACCAGAGACAGGGAGACCAGAGAGAGAGAGAGACCAGAGATTCCACAGTGAGACCAGAGAGAGACCAGAGAGAGACCACTGTGAGACCAGAGAGAGACCAGAGAGAGACCACAGTGAGAAACAGAGAGAGACTAAAGAGAGACCACAGTGAGACACAGAGTAAGAGACCAGAGAGAGACCACAGTGAGACCAGAGAGAGACTAGAGAGAGACCAAAGAGAGACCACAGTGAGACACGGAGTAACAGACCAGAGAGATACCAGAGAGAGACCAGAGAGAAACCACATTGAGACCAAAGAAAGAGACCAGAGAGAGTGAGAGACCAGAGAGAGAACAGTGAGAGACCACTCTGGGTCAGTGAGAGTATAGACTGGACTCTAGTTCAGCTAAAAATGATAAAATATGAGGTCCTACATACTTGAATGGAGTGGTTTTATTTTATTTTATTTTAAATTCTGAAATTAAATAAGATTTGTAACAAAGTAAGTAAGTATTCTTTATTTATATACCGCCTTTCACAGACCAGAGTCACAAAGCGGTTTACAATTGTTATTTGTCGCCAGTACAGGAGGCGCATGCCAGACCTATTGCATGTTTTTAGTGGTAGGGGAAACCGGAGTACCCGGAGGAAACCTACGCAGACACAGGGAGAACATGCAAACTCCACCCAGAACGGCCCTGTTCCGACCGTGGTGGCAGAGTGCTATCCACTCTGCCACCACGCCACCCATGTCTCCCAAGTCATTCCATTCCATGGGAGACATTTCTTGTATTTTTCTGATAGTTAAGTCTTTTAAAACAGTGAGAATGTGCAATTAAGAAACATTTGGCCAGTGTGCTCTGTGTGTAGTGACAGATCTGTCTCACCTGGAGGCAGATACTGACAGTATCCAGAGGAGTTCACCAGGATGTTAGTGTGGAATGCAGCATCGAACCTCTCATCAGCGCTGAGGAAGACAGGACACAGGACACAAGGGTCACTTTGGTCTCTGTGAGTTAGAACAATCTAGTCTTGGCTTCAGTTATTCAACAAAATAGATTTAAAATAGGACATTAATGACACTAAACAGTTACAAGAGAGAGACCAGAGAAAGACCAGAGAGAGACCGGAGAGAGAGACTAGAGAGAGACAGAGAGAGAGAGAAAGAGAGACCAGAGAGAGAGACGAGAGAGAGAGAGAGAGAGAGAGAGAGAGAGAGAGAGAAAGAGAGACCAGAGAGAGAGACCAGAAAGAAGTAATCTAGTAATCTTTTTTAGTAATCTTTTATTTATATACCGCCTTTTCACTGCACATCGGAGTCTCAAAGCGGTTTACAATTGTTATTTTTGGGAGTGGGGGTGCCAGAACAGGAGGCACATGCCAGACCTATTGTACATATTTTTAGTTGTAGGGGAAACCGGAGCACCCGGAGGAAACCTACGCAGACACGGGGAGAACATGCAAACTCCACTCAGAAAGGCCCTGGTCCAACCGGGATTTGAACCCAGGACCTTCTTGCTGAGAGGCGAGAGTGCTATCCACTCAGCCACCGTGCTGCCCACAAGAGAGAAAGAGAGAGAGAGAGACCAGAGAGAGAGACCAGAGAGAGAGAAACGGAGAGAGAGACTAGAGAGAGAGCTAGAGAGAGAGAGAAAGAGAGACCAGAGAGAGGCTAGAAGAGACCAGAGAGAGACCAGAAAGAGAGAGAGAGAGACCAGAAAAAGAGACCAGAGAGACCAGAGATAGATCAGAGAGAGACAAGAGAGAGAGAAAGAGAGAGAGAGATAGAGAGAGACCAGAGAGAGAGAATAGAGAGAGAGAGACCTGAGAGAGAGAGAGATAAGAGAGAGATAGAGATAGAGAGAGACCAGAGAGAGAGACTAGAGAGAGAGAGATTGAGCAGAGAGCGAGACCAGAGAGAAACCAGAGAGAGAGACTAGAGAGAGAGAGAGACTAGAAGAGATCAGAGAGAGAGAGACTAGAAGAGATCAGAGAGAGAGACCAGAAAGAGAGAGAGAGAGACGAGAGAGACCAGAGAGAGAGACAAGAGAGACCAGAGAGAGACGAGAAGAGACCAGAGAGAGAAAGAGAGAGAGAGAGAGAGAGAGAGATAGAGCAGCGAGTGTGACCAGAGAAAGAGAGTAGAGAGAGAGGGAAAGAGAGAGAGATAAAGACTCGAGAGAGAGAGAGCTAGAGCAGAGAGAGAGAATAGAGAGAGAGAGAGACCAGATAGAGACTAGAGAGAGAGGGAGACCAGAGAGAGAGACCAGAGAGAGAGATCAGAGAGAGAGACCAGAGAGAGAGACCAGAGAAGAGAGAGAGAGAGAGAGAGAGAGACCAGAGAGTGACGAGAAGAGACCAGAGAGTGACTAGAGAGAGAGAGAGAGAGAGAGAGAGAGAGAGAGCTAGAGCAGAGAGAGAAAATAGAGAGAGAGTGAGACCAGATAGAGAGACCAGAGAGAGAGAAAGAGAGAGAGAGAGAGAGAGACCAGAGATCAGAGAGAGAGAGACCAGAGAAAGAGAGAAACAGATCAAAGAAAGACCAGAGGGACACCAGAAAGAGAGACCAGAGAGAGATTGGTCAGTCACTGCAGTATGTTCCCAACAGAAATAGTCTTGTAAAATGCAGTGAATAAATCAGCCCAGAGTGTGCTGTCTCTATAATCATTGAACATATTGTATGTTTGTGAGAAATGTCATGTTTTGGACTGAGAGGGGATTGGCTGAGTGAGGGTGGTCCTCTCTTTCTCTTTCCTGCCTGACAAAATTTGATCTAAAGACCAAGAAAACTGCAGGTAGTAATCGCACCAAGACATACTGTAGATGTTTTTGTGTGTTTGAAGGTTAGATTCCCCGTCTTTAACTTTAATCTAACCCCACAGATGCACATCAAAACCCCACTGTGTGAAAACAACATTTAAATTAAATACTGACATAGAAAGATATAGTTGAAAGTCAGGCTCTGAGCCCAAACCTGCTGCTCTCATTAAAAACACAGAATTCCCCGTGACAGCCTGTAACTCTCCAAACTCTCATTTCGCCGCTGAGTAATTAGCAACTCCTCCGTTAGCATTTCTGCCGCATCTGTTTGTGAGGCGCTAATCCTAGCAGCACAGGTGGAAGGAGAAAGAATAATTCCAATGTTTGTTTACAGCTTTAGTTTCTCGTTGCCGTGCTTCTTTGATGTTCTTAAAGACTTCAAAGCAAAATCATTCACATGTAGTTTTCAATATTTAAAGGGAATGAATTATTAAAAATCTAAGTATTTAAAGATTTTCATTGCTTTAAAATCTCATCTCAGACAGACATGCAGTAGATTGGAGCCTCACTCACACTAATATAAAATCAGTTTGAGAATCCCCAAACTGCTTTGTGCGTTCCAATCATTTTTGAACTGCTCAACAACCTGGGAACTCGGAACATATTTTTCACATGGATTTGGGAACCAATCACAGAAGAGGGAGGGACAGGAAGACAGTGATGAGTGTTTATATCTCGTCTCAAAGGACTTTATAAAGTTGTTGAGTCGTCGATAACAAACACGTAGAGGCATTGGTCCGTAGGGGACAGATGACCAATGTCCATAAACGTTCTTATATATTCTTAGATATGTACATACAGTGGGGCAAAAAAGTATTTAGTCAGCCACCGATTGTGCCAGTTCTCCCACTTAAAATAATGACAGAGGTCTGTAATTTTCATCATAGGTACACTTAAACTGTGAGAGACAGAATGTGAAAAAAAATCCAGGAATTCACATTGTAGGATTTATTAAAGAATGTATTTGTAAATTATGGTGGAAAATAAGTATTTGGTCACTTCAAACAAGGAAGATCTCTGGCTCTCACAGACCTGTAACTTCTTCTTTAAGAAGCTCTTCTGTCCTCCACCTCCATTAAAGTTAATTAAATTAAAAGATAGCCCAAATGTAGCCCACAACAATATTTCAACCACTGATAATCTCCCTCGATCTGGGGCTCCACGCAAGATCTCATCCTGTGGGGTCAAAATGAACGGTGATCAAATATCCCAGAACCACACGGGGGGACCTGGTGAATGACCTGCAGAGAGCTGGGACCAAAGTAACAAAGGTTACCATCAGTAACACACTACGACGACAGGGAATCAAACCCTGCAGTGCCAGACGTGCTGAAGCCAGTGCATTTCCAGGCCCGTCTGAAGTTTGCCAGAGAGCACATGGATGATACAGCAGAGGATCGGGAGAATGTCATGTGGTCAGAGGAAACCAAAGTACAACTGTTTGGTATAAACTCAACTCGTCGTGTTTGGAGGAAGAAGAATACTGAGTTGCATCCCAAGAATACCATACCTACTGTGAAGCATGGGGGTGGAAACGTCATGCTTTGGGGCTGTTTTTCTGCTAAGGGGACAGGACGACTGATCCGTGTTAAGGAAAGAATTAATGGGGCCAGTATCGTGAGATTTTCAGCCAAAAACTCCTTCCATCAGTGAGAGCTTTGAAGATGAAACGTGGCTGGGTCTTCCAACATGACAATGATCCCAAACACACCGCCCGGGCAACGAAGGAGTGGCTCCGTAAGAAGCATTTGAAAGTCCTGGAGTGGCCTCGCCAGTCTCCAGACCTCAACCCCATTGAAAATCTGTGGAGGGAGTTGAAAGTCTGTGTTCACTGCTCTCGAGAAGATCTGCATGGAGGAATGGGCCAAAATACCAGCTACTGTGTGTGCAAACCTGGTAAAGACCTATATAGTAATCGTTTGACCTCTGTTATACTTTGGCTATATTACAAAGTATTGAGTTGAATTTTTGTTATTGACCAAATACTTATTTTCCACCATAATTTACAAATAAATTCTTTAAAAATTCTACAATGTGAATTCCTGGATTATTTTTTCACATTCTGTCTCTCACAGTTTAAATGTACCTATGATGAAAATTACAGACCTCTGTCATTATTTTAAGTGGGAGAACTTGCACAATTGTTGGCTGGCTAAATACTTTTTTGCCCCACTGTATACGTAAGGAGCAGAATGTAAACATCTGGCCAAAAGTGGTACTGCAGCCTCTCCCACTCTCCCTGACTCAGGTTGCCAGATAATCAAACAAATCCAGCTGGGACCATAATATCTGAATAGACAAGAGTTTTGTCAACAACAAATCTATAATTAACACCTTTTTCACAAAGGCCCCAACAGAAATCCACATTTTTGTTCTTGTTTTGTCATTAATGGTTTGAGAATCATAACGAGACCTTTTTTTAGTTCTGTATCCACATGTTACTTTACCGGTGAGATTACCTTGACGCAATTCTGGCAACCCGGATCACAGACTTTCTGATTGGTAAAACGGTGGAGGGCGGGACATCGAAATGAAAACAATGAAAACTTTTAGGGGCTGTAAAACTAATTTTGAAACTCTCTGAACTACTGTTATCAGCTAAAGAAGTATTGGAGAAAGAGCGTTGTTTATTAATGACTTTTGGAATACTAGGGCCCTTTAATGATGACTTGACATGACAATCTTACATATTGCTACTTTAAATTCCTTCGGAAACGTTCTGCAGTTACCGAAATGGATTTAAATGGATGTTGGCATGTCTTGCATTGGGGGTTGTGATTCCCGCTGCCACTTTCTCATCTTCTCTCCAGATGTTACTTCAAGTTCTTCAATGAGATGTGTCGTTCAGTGCAGTATATGTATCGTAATGTAACTGAATGTCTGTCCAGTGTTATTCCAGGTGCTTCAGGTGTACTGATCCTGCTGCTGAACCCACAGGTCTGAGCTTTAACTGCTCCCTCCCCACAGTTTAAAGATAAAAACCTGTTGTACAGCAGGATGTCCGGTCTCCAGATCTGACTGTCAGGGAAGCGGACGTTGGAGACTCCAGGATAATCCGACACATTCCACTGGAGGTAGAAGTCTGTCCAGTACTGAAATACACAATTCAAGTTTATTCAGAAAATTATATTTATAGATATATTATAGTAAGAGATAACGTATATTACGCCGGTCATTATCGGAAAATTCAGGGCGAAGCGGAGGTACTTATTTTCCAATAATGACTTGCGTAATATACGTTATCCCGCTTATTACACGGCTTTATACCAACAGAACACACAACATAAACTTCAGTCCACTTTTAGGAATGCTGAAAGATTTATTTAAAATAAGAAAGAAAATAAAATAGTTCCCAAAGGCTTTCCCGTGGCTATGCTAGCAACAGTTAGGCTAGCAACTTCCAAACTAGAACTCTCTGGAACTGCATGAAAACTGAACAAAGAATTCTGAACATCAGCGGTGAGTGACCCAAACATAAACTTAACCTAAATCCATAATTCCATCCTCTGCAAATGTTCCTAAAATGTGCCGGTATTTACTTAGGGGTTTTTTGGGATCGCCTTTTCTCGCATTACATCAGTGTTTTTGTCATGAAAACGTAAACGGAAAATTCTGAAAACTTCCGTGCACCTGTATTAATAATGTATTTGTATAATGTACTCTCCGATTAACATTTAATGGCGTTGATTGACTGGCATTTGTGTTTAATGAGCGTGGCTAGCTCCGGAGTGGCTGAAACTACTTCCGGGTTTTTCATGATCGCTTTTTGACGCAGATAAATAGTATTTTTGTCATGAAGACAAGAGCAGGAAAATTCTGAAAACCTCTGTGCACGTGTGTGAAGAATGTATGTACAGTGCCTTGCGAAAGTATTCGGCCCCCTGGAACCTTTCAACATTTCGCCACATTTCAGGCTTCAAACATAAAGATATAAAATTTAAATTTTTTGTCATGAATCAACAACAAGTGGGACACAATCGTGAAGTGGAATGAAATTTGTTGGATAATTTAAACTTTTTTAACAAATAAAAAACTGAAAAGTGGGGCGTGCAGTATTATTCGGCCCCTTTACTTTCAGTGCAGCAAACTCAGTCCAGAAGTTCAGTGAGGATCTTTGAATGATCCAATGTTGTCCTAAATGACTGATGATGATAAATAGAATGCACTTGTGTGTAATCAAGTCTCCGTATAAATGCACCTGCTCTTTGATAGTCTCAGGGTTCTGTTTAAAGCGTAGAGAGAACCATGAAGACAAAGGAACACACCAGGCAGGTCCGAGATACTGTTGTGGAGAAGTTCAAAGCCGGATTTGGATACAAAAAGATTTCCCAAGCTTTAAACATCTCAAGGAGCACTGTGCAAGCAGTTATATTGAAATGGAAGGAGTATCAGACCACTGCAAATCTACCAAGACCCGGCCGTCCCTCCAAACTTTCATCTCAAACAAGGAGAAGACTGATCAGAGATGCAGCCAAGAGGCCCATGATCGCTCTGGATGAACTGCAGATAACTACAGCTGAGGTGGGAGAGTCTGTCCATAGGACAACAATCAGTCGTGCACTGCACAAATCTGGCCTTTATGGAAGAGTGGCCATTTCTCAAAGATATCCATAAAAAGTCTCTTAAAGTTTGCCACAAGCCACCTGGGAGACACACCAAACATGTGGAAGAAGGTGCTCTGGTCAGATGAAACCAAAATCAAACTTTTTGGCCACAATGCAAAACGATATGTTTGGCGTAAAAGCAACACAGCTCATCACCCTGAACACACCATCCCCACCTCAGCTGTAGTTATCTGCAGTTCATCCAGAGTGATCATGGGCCTCTTGACTGCATCTCTGATCAGTCTTCTGCAGGTAGAGTGTGTGGAGAGGGAAGTGTGTGTCTCTGCTCAGACTGCTGCCTCATATGACCCGGCAATGAATAAAAGTGAAAAGAGAAAATAAAATGCAATATATGAGAAACCCAGACTCTGAAAACACATTTAAATTCAAACTTATAAAACAGAAGAAGGTCTAAACAAGCAGAGAGTGACTAAACCAATCACAGTCCACTTCATCGATCCTCTGTGGAAATTTGTCCTTTTCACCAAACTCTAACCTCACCGGGGGATTCCTGAGAGCTGCAGACCACCATGAATAAAGATTACACACTTATCTCCTATCGCCATGGAAACTACAGTTCTATTTTCATCAGAAGTTGGTGAAAAAAGACTCAAAGTCACTCAAAGATACTCAAAAACAGTTGAAGATGGCCATTAAGTTCCACATTAGTCTTTAGCATCTGTTCAAGTCCTTATTTCTGGCTTTTGTGATTTCGTCTGGCTTCTCAGTCTTTTTAAGCCTTTCTCTCTGGTCTCTCCCTCTAGTCTCTCTCTCTGGTCTCTCACTGGTCTCACTCTCTAGTCTCTCTTAGTTCTCTCCCACTGGTCTCTAGTCTCTCTCTCTGGTCTCTCTCTCTCTGGTCTCTCTCTCTAGTTTCTCGCTGGTCTCTCCCTCTAGTCTATCTCTGGTCTCTCTCTCTTGCCTCTCTCTCTGGTCTTTCTCTCTAGTCTCTTTCTGGTCTCTCTCTCTAGTCTCTCTCTTGTCTCTCTCTGGTCTTTCTCTGGTCTCTCTCTCTAATCTCTCTTTGGACTCTCCCTATAGTCTCTCTCTCTGTCTCTCCCTCTAGTCTCTCTCTGGTCTCTCTTTGGTCTCTCTCTGGTCTCTCCCTTTAGTCTCTCTCTGGTCTCTCCCTCTAGTCTCTCTCTGGTCTCTCCCTCTAGTCTCTCTTTGGTCTCTCTGGGCGGCACGGTGGCTGAGTGGATAGCACTCTCGCCTCTCAGCAAGAAGGTCTTGGGTTCGAATCCCGGTCGGACCAGGGCCTTTCTGAGTGGAGTTTGCATGTTCTCCCCGTGTCTGCGTAGGTTTCCTCCGGGTACTCCGGTTTCCCCTACCACTAAAAATATGTCCAATAGTTCTGGCATGCGCCTCCTGTACAGGCCCCGCTCCCATCTCTGTGTGGAGTGAGAGACAAATGCCCAAAAAATAACAATTGTAAACCGCTTTGAGACTCAGATTTGCAGTGAAAAGGCGGTATATAAATAAAAACTTACTTACTTACTTACTTACTTACTCTCTCTGGTCTCTCTCTTTGGTCTCTCTCTCTAGTCTCTCTCTGGTCTCTCTCTGGTCTCTCCCTCTAGTCTCTCTCTCTGGTCTCTCTCTCTGGTCTCTCCCTCTAGTCTCTCTCTCTGGTCTCTCTCTCTGGTCTCTCTCTGGTCTCTCCCTCTAGTCTCTCTTTGGTCTCTCTCTAGTCTCTCTCTGGTCTCTCCCTCTAGTCTCTCTTTGGTCTCTCTCTCTAGTCTCTCTCTGGTCTCTCTCTGGTCTCTCCCTCTAGTCTCTCTCTCTGGTCTCTCTCTCTGGTCTCTCTCTCTGGTCTCTCTCTCTGGTCTCTCTCTGGTCTCTCTCTCTGGTCTCTCTCTCTGGTCTCTCTCTCTGGTCTCTTTCTGTGGTCTCTCTCTCTGGTCTCTCTCTCTGGTCTCTTTCTGTGGTCTCTCTCTCTGGTCTCTCTCTCTGGTCTCTCTCTCTGGTCTCTTTCTGTGGTCTCTCTCTCTGGTCTCTCTCTCTGGTCTCTCTCTCTAGTCTCTTTCTGTGGTCTCTCTCTCTGGTCTCTCTCTGGTTTCTCTCTCTAGTCTCTCGTACGTTCAATACAGAAATGGTGAAATTATGAAGATGATTTGTTGTTTTTGAGGCAGTAAGGTACTGCAGGTATGGGACAGCGGCCGTCTGTGAAAAGGCCGTTTCTTCAGTGAGAGCAGATGACATGTGACATCACTTGTGACAGTGAGAGCAGATGACATGTGACATCACTTGTGACAGTGAGAGCAGATGACATGTGACATCACTTGTGACAGTGAGAGCAGATGACATGTGACATCACTTGTGACAGTGAGAGCAGATGACATGTGACATCACTTGTGACAGTGAGAGCATATGACATGTGACATCACTTGTGACAGTGAGAGCAGAACGGTTGATCCTGAGCTTTTGATCCTTCTCTCATCACAAAACCGTGTCCGTCTCCTCCTGGGATTTACTTTATTTTGAACACGATTTATCATAGAAATGTCCAGCAGCTGTCAGACTGCAGAAGGAGTTGGAACTAAACACAATTAAAATTATTCTCATTTTTTTTTTTATCTTATTAAGTTTTGTCATCTAAGTGACAGGAGTTTAAAGTGCAAAAAGAGAAAAAAAGTGCAAGAGAACAGTACATAATTGCAGCGGTAGAGCTAGCCACATTAAATAAATTACTTCTTCAAATAAATTCACATTAGACATTAAATTATAAATGACAAAACATTATTTTACATAAAGACAATAACTCAGAGAACATATCTTTAGCATAAAACATAAAAATACACTAAAATACAAAATATAGCTAATGCTACAGCAATACACATCGCAGTAATCAGTGGTGCTTCGACTGCACTATCGACTAAATCTAGCCCCGGTGATGGCGTTCTATTCAACCATTCTGCCAGCCGTTTCAAAATGGCCATGGGCGGCAAAATGGAAGAAAATTGGGAAAAAACACTTTTGGAGCAGAGGCCGTATTACGTGCACATGCGTTAGCCGGCACGAGCCTGACACATGTAGTTCATTTAACGCGCTCATTCAAAAGTCTACAGCGGCTAAACTAGGCTGGTCTAAAAAAGATACTCCCCTCCATACGGACACATCTGGAACTTGGCGATGAGCGACGAGATGAACCATAAGAATTCATAGGATACCATAAGAACCAAAATAATTCATTGGATAATTCTGTTTCCGGGTACGGCACCACCGGCAAGGAGCCAGATTACAAGCATGTCAGTGCACGTGCTCACAGACCTTTGAGTAACGACCCGCCTCCACTGGTCCAGACCTAAAACCTAAACACAGCCTGTTCACCTCTGAAGCTGAGCGTGAGACACAGAAGTGTGTGCAGCGCCCTCTATTGGTGGGTTGGCAAAAAAAAAAAAAAAAAAAAAAAGAGGGTGTCTATTTCCTTATTAAAAGTAAATGCAGCGTTTTTTTCAACCATATTCCACAGGCCACATGATCCTGAGTTAGCCACATTGGCCTGAGTTAGCCACATTAGCATGAGTTAGCCACATGATCCTGAGTTAGCCACATTGGCCTGAGTTAGCCACATTAGCATGAGTTAGCCACATTAGCATGAGTTAGCCACATTAGCATGAGTTAGCCACATTAGCATGAGTTAGCCACATTAGCATGAGTTAGCCACATTAGCATGAGTCAGCCAGATTAGCATGAGTTAGCCACATTAGCATGAGTTAGCCACATTAGCATGAGTTAGCCACATTAGCATGAGTTAGCCACATTAGCATGAGTTAGCCACATTAGCATGAGTTAGCCACATTAGCATGAGTTAGCCACATTAGCATGAGTTAGCCACATTAGCATGAGTTAGCCACATTAGCATGAGTTAGCCACATTAGCATGAGTTAGCCACATTAGCATGAGTTAGCCACATTAGCATGAGTTAGCCAGATTAGCATGAGTTAGCCACATTAGCATGAGTTAGCCACATTAGCATGAGTTAGCCACATTAGCATGAGTCAGCCAGATTAGCATGAGTTAGCCACATTAGCATGAGTCAGCCACATTAGCATGAGTTAGCCACATTAGCATGAGTTAGCCACATTAGCATGAGTTAGCCAGCATGAGTTAGCATGAGTTAGCCACATTAGCATGAGTTAGCCACATTAGCATGAGTTACCACATTAGCATGAGTTAGCCACATTACATTAGCATGAGTTAGCCACATTAGCATGAGTTAGCCACATTAGCATGAGTTAGCCCATTAGCATGAGTTAGCCACATTAGCATGAGTTAGCCACATTAGCATGAGTCAGCCACATTAGCATGAGTTAGCCACATTAGCATGAGTTAGCCACATTAGCATGAGTTAGCCACATTAGCATGAGTTAGCCACATTAGCATGAGTTAGCCACATTAGCATGAGTTAGCCACATTAGCATGAGTTAGCCACATTAGCATGAGTTAGCCACATTAGCATGAGTTAGCCACATTAGCATGAGTTAGCCACATTAGCATGAGTTAGCCACATTAGCATGAGTTAGCCACATTAGCATGAGTTAGCCACATTAGCATGAGTTAGCCACATTAGCATGAGTTAGCCACATTAGCATGAGTTAGCCACCATTAGCATGAGTTAGCCACATTAGCATGAGTTAGCCACATTAGCATGAGTTTAGCCACATTAGCATGAGTTAGCCACATTAGCATGAGTTAGCCACATTAGCATGAGTTAGCCACATTAGCATGAGTTAGCCACATTAGCATGAGTTAGCCACATTAGCATAGAGTTAGCCACATTAGCATGAGTTAGCCACATTAGCATGAGTTAGCCACATTAGCATGAGTTAGCCACATTAGCATGAGTTAGCCACATTAGCATGAGTTAGCCACATTAGCATGAGTTAGCCACATTAGCATGAGTTAGCATTGATGAGTTAGCCACATTAGCATGAGTCAGCCACATTAGCATGAGTTAGCCACATTAGCATGAGTTAGCCACATTAGCATGAGTTAGCCACATTAGCATGAGTTAGCCACATTAGCATGAGTTAGCCACATTAGCATGAGTCAGCCACATTAGCATGAGTTAGCCACATTAGCATGAGTTAGCCACATTAGCATGAGTTAGCCACATTAGCATGAGTCAGCCACATTAGCATGAGTTAGCCACATTAGCATGAGTTAGCCACATTAGCATGAGTTAGCCACATTAGCATGAGTTAGCCACATTAGCATGAGTTAGCCACATTAGCATGAGTTAGCCACATTAGCATGAGTTAGCCACATTAGCATGAGTTAGCCACATTAGCATGAGTTAGCCACATTAGCATGAGTTAGCCACATTAGCATGAGTTAGCCACATTAGCATGAGTTAGCCACATTAGCATGAGTTAGCCACATTAGCATGAGTTAGCCACATTAGCATGAGTTAGCCACATTAGCATGAGTTACCACATTAGCATGAGTTAGCCACATTAGCATGAGTTAGCCACATTAGCATGAGTTAGCCACATTAGCATGAGTTAGCCACATTAGCATGAGTTAGCCACATTAGCATGAGTCAGCCACATTAGCATGAGTTAGCCACATTAGCATGAGTTAGCCACATTAGCATGAGTTAGCCACATTAGCATGAGTTAGCCACATTAGCATGAGTTAGCCACATTAGCATGAGTTAGCCACATTAGCATGAGTTAGCCACATTAGCATGAGTCAGCCACATTAGCATGAGTTAGCCACATTAGCATGAGTTAGCCACATTAGCATGAGTTAGCCACATTAGCATGAGTTAGCCACATTAGCATGAGTTCACCACATTAGCATACTACAAACATACATACATATACGTATATAAATGTATGTTTGTACCATTGTAAAATCTATGGGCACTTACTTCAAGGACTTAGCTACTTTGTCAAACGTCAGAACAGTTGGCAGTGTTTCCAGTCATCTCAGTGTGAGGAGTGTGTCATAAATATTTCATAATATTTTGATTTTTCAGCCTGAGGAGCCGTTTACTTTACTTTTCGATGACAAACAGAGGACAGAGACTCCAGACACTGTCTCTCCCTGGTCTCTCTCTCTCTACTCTCTTTCTCTTGTCTCTCTCTGGTCTCTTTCCGCTCTCGTTCTCTGGTCTCTCTCTCTGCTCTCCCTCTGGCCTCTCTCTGGCCTCTCTCTGGCCTCTCTCTGGCCTCTCTCTGGCCTCTCTCTGGTCTCTCTCTGCTCTCTTTCTCTGCTCTCTTTCTCTGGTCTTTCTCTGGTCTCTTTCTCTGGTCTTTCTCTGGTCTTTCTCTGGTCTTTCTCTGGTCTCTTTCTCTGGTCTTTCTCTGGTCTTTCTCTGGTCTTTCTCTGGTCTCTCTCTGGTCTCTCTCTGGTCTCTCTCTGGTCTTTCTCTGGTCTCTCTCTGGTCTCTCTCTGGTCTTTCTCTGGTCTCTCTCTGGTCTTTCTCTGGTCTCTCTCTGGTCTCTCTCTGGTCTCTCTCTGGTCTTTCTCTGGTCTCTCTCTGGTCTCTCTCTGGTCTTTCTCTGGTCTCTCTCTGGTCTTTCTCTGGTCTCTCTCTGGTCTTTCTCTGGTCTCTCTCTGGTCTCTCTCTGGTCTTTCTCTGGTCTTTCTCTGGTCTCTCTCTGGTCTTTCTCTGGTCTCTCTCTGGTCTTTCTCTGGTCTCTCTCTGGTCTTTCTCTGGTCTCTCTCTGGTCTCTCTCTGGTCTCTCTCTGGTCTCTCTCTGGTCTCTCTCTGGTCTTTCTCTGGTCTCTCTCTGGTCTTTCTCTGGTCTCTCTCTGGTCTTTCTCTGGTCTTTCTCTGGTCTCTCTCTCTGGTCTCTCTCTGGTCTTTCTCTGGTCTCTCTCTGGTCTCTTTCTGGTCTCTCTCTGGTCTCTCTCTGGTCTTTCTCTGGTCTCTCTCTCTGGTCTTTCTCTGGTCTCTCTCTGGTCTCTCTCTGGTCTTTCTCTGGTCTCTCTCTCTGGTCTTTCTCTGGTCTCTCTCTGGTCTCTCTCTGGTCTCTCTCTGCTCTCTTTCTCTGGTCTCTCTCTGGTCTTTCTCTGGTCTCTCTCTGGTCTCTCTCTGGTCTCTCTCTGGTCTTTCTCTGGTCTCTCTCTCTGGTCTTTCTCTGGTCTCTCTCTGGTCTCTTTCTGGTCTCTCTCTGGTCTCTCTCTGGTCTCTCTCTGCTCTCTTTCTCTGGTCTCTCTCTGGTCTCTCTCTGGTCTCTCTCTCTGGTCTTTCTCTGGTCTCTCTCTCTGGTCTTTCTCTGGTCTCTCTCTGGTCTCTCTCTGGTCTTTCTCTGGTCTCTCTCTCTGGTCTTTCTCTGGTCTCTCTCTGGTCTCTCTCTGGTCTCTCTCTGCTCTCTTTCTCTGGTCTCTCTCTGGTCTTTCTCTGGTCTCTCTCTGGTCTCTCTCTGGTCTCTCTCTGGTCTTTCTCTGGTCTCTCTCTCTGGTCTTTCTCTGGTCTCTCTCTGGTCTCTCTCTGGTCTCTCTCTGGTCTCTCTCTGGTCTCTCTCTGGTCTTTCTCTGGTCTCTCTCTCTGGTCTTTCTCTGGTCTCTCTCTGGTCTCTCTCTGGTCTCTCTCTGGTCTCTCTCTGGTCTCTCTCTGGTCTTTCTCTGGTCTCTCTCTCTGGTCTTTCTCTGGTCTCTCTCTGGTCTCTCTCTGGTCTTTCTCTGGTCTCTCTCTGGTCTCTCTCTGGTCTCTCTCTGGTCTCTCTCTGGTCTCTCTCTGGTCTCTCTCTGGTCTCTCTCTGGTCTCTCTCTGGTCTCTCTCTGGTCTCTCTCTGGTCTCTCTCTGGTCTCTCTCTGGTCTCTTTCTGGTCCTCTCGGTGTGGTTGTTGGTGACAGGGCATAAATACGACTTAAGAGGGAAGCGTTCGACCTTGAGTCTCGGAGCCGCAGTGAAAGTGACGAGCAGAAGATGCAAATCGCACGTCAACAGAAGGATCCAAACTGGCTCCGTTATCTTTGTCTTTGCCAAAACAACAAACAAAGACGATTATGCAACAACCATCCGTCCATTATCTGGAGATTAGCCAGAAATGAGAGCTGCTAATGCACCCTTAATGTTCCATCCAGCCAAGCTACAGGTCAGATCCAGGCAAGTTTATATGTGTAGCACAGTAGTAGATATATAAGGCACCGCTATTGAGCAAGTGGCGAAAAGGTGGTACTGCACCCTGAACTCCCCAGAATAGGGCACTGTCCGGTTTCCGAAATGTGCTAAAAATAGCTCAGATGACTGCGCATGCGCGCATGTTTCGGACAAACATTGTGTACGACTCGTTGAGTTCTACTGTGTTCTCCTCATACGCGTGTGTATTTATTTGGGCTAAATCATTGAATCATGGTGACAACAAAACACTGCAGTTATGGTGCTTGTGGGAGCGATTTCAGATACTCTGAAAAGGACTATATGAAAGTAACATTCAACCCGTTCGTTAAACCACAACATCGGACCAGACCAGGACCAGACCAGGACCAGACCAGGACCAGACCAGGACCAGACCAGGACCAGACCAGGACCAGATCAGACCAGGTGGGTGCTTGTGGTCGGCAGAATTTCTCTCATGAAAATGTTAAAAAGGGCACATGTTTTTTCAAAACACTTCGCTGGACCAACTGTGGAGCCTCCAGATCCAGTCCTAGCTACGTTTAGCTGGGACTGGATCTGGACCGCTGTATCAGGTCCGTCTGAGCTCTTCTGAATGTAGTTAATCCCATCAATCCATATTAGTATTGTTTGTCCTAATCCAGAAAGTATACAATTCTCACACCTGAAGAAAGATGAGAGGGATTTTTTTCAACTTTGTGTCTGCTTATTATACGGCTTTGTACCAATTGAACACACAAAATAAACGTCATTCACTACTCATGCCGAAAGGTTTATTTAATGAGTGCAAAGAAAATAGTTCCCAAAGGTTTTCCCGTGGCAGGCGAGTAACAGTGAGGATAGTTAACCTAAAAGCGATCGCTTTAGTCGCATTAAAAAAGTATTTTTGTCATGAAAACCTGAACAGTTAATTCTGAAAACCTCCGTGCACTTGTGTTATGAATGTGTATAATGTATTCTCCCATTAACATTTAAATGTGTTGATTGATTGTCATTTGCGTTTACTGAGTGTGGCTCCGATAGTTTCTCTCAGAGACAGTGGCGTAACCCGTTGTGATCATGGATTTATTATAATATCAGCTGACTGTAGCTAACTAATGATCAAACTAATTACAAAGTGGATAGTGCAAAAACAACTTAATAAATGGAAGTTAATCACAGCAAAACAAACAAAGAAGGCGCTAGTATTGCAATTTAAATGACTAGATAATGTTAGCATAATCCTCACCATTATCTTTTTATCAGGGGCGACAGTTGGTAGAGCATTGGCCTTAAGGCCAGAAGGTTGTGGGTTCAATTCCCACCTCTGCACCTTCTCCACCGACTCCCACTGATGACTGCTGTCGTTGTGTCCTTGGGCAAGACACTTAACCCCACTTTGCCCAAAAGCCCCCACTGAAAGATCAAGGCTATGCTCACACTCAGAGAGCAGCCGTCCTCCTGTGGACTCACCACCTGCAGAGGGTCAGTGAGGGGCTGGTGCTATGAGACTTGGGTGGCATCTCTGACTGCCACCCCCCTGACCCAGAAATGGATTAAAGGGTAGAAAATGGATGGATGGATGGATGGTATCTTTTTATCAATTCAAACCGTCTACCAGTTACTGGAAGACCACGACATTCAAGCCAACGTTATAATTGGTCTACACTATGATCCCTGATGGTTTGATGGTGGAATTTTGCCCCTGGTATATCATTTTCGTCTAAAGTGACAAGTGGTATTTGATTCATTTCGGCAGTGTTTGTCCGAAACATGTGGGCGGGAGTTGACAGGCGGCGGGGGCGTGTCTTAGTGACGTCATTTAGATAGTTCGCTATAGAGACACCGCTATTGAGCAAGTGGTGAAAAGGTGGTACTGCACCCTAAACTCCTCAGAATAGAGGCACCGCTATTGAGCAAGTGGTGAAAAGGTGGTACTGCACCCTAAACTCCTCAGAATAGAGGCACCGCTATTGAGCAAGTGGTGAAAAGGTGGTACTGCACTGTATTTTTTTTTCAAAGAGGTGTCATTTTGAATAGTTAGCCTCTGCCTGGTGCTTCACAGTTGTCTAAAAAGTGGCTTATTAACCAGCGCGTAGCGTAACACAGAGGGACGGTCACACACACACTTATTCTAAAACAAATAGCCTATGCCTGGTCTGTAAGTGAGCTTCACACTTGTCTAAAAAGTGGTTTATTGAGCAGCGTTTAGCGTGACACCTGGGGAGGGTCACACGGGCTTATTCTAAAACAAACAAACAGTGATGGCTTAGTGGGACACACGTCAATAACTAATTAATCTACACAGAGAACCTGCTCCAGACCTGTCAAACTATACAAACATAACGAAGGGATGGGAGGATGAAGGGATGGGAGGTCTAAGGTGAGCCCCCGCCCTCTAAGAAGTTTTCAATGGTTCAAACGCATTACGGCTGTCTACGGGAAGGTTATACAATATGTCTAACACAGGTAAGTTATTAATATAACATTTTTCAGTATTCATATTAAATGTTTTAATTTAGTTTATCTCTAGGAAAGGGTCGTTTATTGACACATTATGACACCGATGAAGATTTAACCCCATCACCAAAAGTTACGAGAGGTCTACAACCAACGAAGGAAATATGGTAAGATCTAATCTAACTTAATGTCTTAACCAGATGCTTAATACTTTATTACATTTTATACAGCACAGGTAAAACTAAGACCAAGTCAATGCCCTTGATGTATAAATTAAGACACGTAAATCAACGCAACGCAAGTCTAGCTCCGTAAGTCCGTACATATACTAACTAATTTTATATAACAAGCTTTATGAACGGTGTAAATCTTTTTTCTAGAGCAATTCTATCATGCCGCAACGGACACAAAATACATAATCACGGGGATGATGATGATGATAAAAGGTGAGTTACACATTATAATTTTATAATGATAGAGGTTATAATTTTCTTCTCACTATTTTTAGCTCATCAGAGGGTGACGAAGACACAGAGAATCAGCCCTCGGTAAACCATCATTTTAACATACTGGATTTTGCAACAACACTGGACATTGACGCCATTATAGGAGATGAAGGTATATCAAACAACTGTCAAGATGTATTAAACGCTGGATCACCATTCCCGGACCGTGACGAATACTTTGACCAAATATCTGGACATACTACTGCTGCTCCTGATGCACCAACCAAGGTGAATACTTTGCAAGAAAACACACATCTGTTAAACACCTGTAATGATGTACGTGAAAAAGAGGTGGTGAAAGCAGAGCTCTCCGCCAAACGGGAGGAAGTGGAATCAAACAAGGCGCGTTGTGTTATTGCAGAGGTACATACAGACAGGTGTCTATCAACTTTGAACCAGCACCTAAAATACGGAGAGACCCGTGTACTTAACGAAATAGATCAGTTAAAGAGACAAGTTCACCATCTTCAAACCGAGCACGTAAAAGTTACTAAACAAGTGTTGGTGTTGCAAAATCAGCGTACAAACGCTACTATACACAGAGCTAAACTACGGGCTAGAGGCCAACGAGCCCAACTACAGACACGCGCGCTTCAACGAGAGGTCCTACAATTGCAAACTCAATACACGAAAGCCTCTATACACACCCGTCAATTAGAAACAAAAACCTTACAAGGGGAAATACAAATTCAAAATTTGACTACTGAAATCAAGCAGCTTAAAAACACGGGAAACGTAATAGCTGATAGAATTGCACAAGTGGATAACCAAGCGAGCACGTCTATAGCGGCTGCTATAGAGCAAATCAATGAAAACACTTCTCATTTGAAAGCCTTCGAAAATGCTTACGATCCTGAAACACACTAAAAGGCCTAACGCTACCGCACCCTCTCAACTTCCTAAAAAAATAAGAATTAATTATGGCCAGCGCTCTAACACTTATGCATGTGTGGAACGTTTAATTCGTACTAATTATCAAACAACGCGTAACACTGATAGTTTAATTCGTACTAATTATCAAACAACGCGTAACACGTATCCGTGTATTGATCGACTAATTCGCACAAATCATCAAAGTACGTCCCATGCTGCAGAACGGTTAATAGCACCGACCCATGTCATAGCTGAAAGGCCTCCGCTAGCAGACATTACCTCAAATGCTGATAATGTAGTTAACCAGTCAATAAGTAAAGATACTATCCAACCCACAATACAACACCCTTCAAACAACTGTGTAGGTATAAATAGTCAAACTATAGAAATGGATACACAAAATGACGAGTCACCTAGACACAGCTCTGTTTTAAGTCGACACAACAATGTTGCAACTGTTTCAAGAAATTGTATAGTTCACACAGAGTCAGACCCCCTGGAGGGTAATGCTAATGAAATAGAGGGTAACGAGACCATACAAGTGGGGGGTGTTGTACAGATTACTGAACAAAGTGATATCCCCGCTAACGTACAATCAGGAGGGGAGGTCCATGTTAACGTAATACCAGAGTTTAATACCACAGTAATGTCTGAGCACATTGATTTTCGAGGTATAGACCCTACAGATACCGTAAAGGCTTGTGAAAGAGTAAATGAAAAATTAACAGGGTTAATAACGCAGGCTGTAAACAATGCAGAACAAGGATGTGTGATGAATGTTGCATTACGAGGGCCCTCGCTTAGTGACGATATTCAAGTTATTTTGAACTCTGACAATGACTACAACGTTGACCATTTTTTAGAGGAAGTGGAAAAAGTGTTACAAAGTAACGACAAGTCCATTATAGAAGATGAAATGACATTAATTGTGAGTATAGCACATTCACAAAGTGGTGGTGGTAAACGTCTCAAACTTGGTGCAGTAGCATACGATACAATATTGCTAAAGAAAGGTAAATTTCTTTATAACCCTCACAATACCGAAAATGCCTTATGTTTTGCCATGTGTATAGCTCATGCATTTCATGCGAACTATACCCATAGTAAATTACTCGATAAAGCCAAAGAGTGGCAAGCGGCTGTTGGTCTGGATCAACAAACAAGCGTAACACTGAATGATGTGTCAAAGTTTGAGAATCTGTTGAACATAAAAATTGTTGTTTTTCACAACACCCCACCGACTAAACGTCTTCAATCATTTAAAACACAGGATAGAATGCACGAATGCACAATAGCTTTATACCTTTATGAGAATCACTACTATCATATCAAAAATAAAACAGGGTTCTTTGGGAGTCCATATGTGTGCAAATACAGTAGGTCCCATTCCGTTTTGTCGTCTTCATTCACGCTTCTCGGGAATCACGCAGCTGCGTGAAAAATAGTACATCTTATCGCCACAAGGTGGCAGGCTAAGTCCGCTTTAGCTCTGCCAGCGACTTAGACGCTCAGGTATAAGACTGCGTGCAAACCTGTCTAACTCCAGAGGTGCTATGTTGGCCGAATGGATAGCATTAAATACAAGGACCTGGAGAACCCAGGTTCGATTCTTGTCTGAGGCACATCTTTTGGTTGCTTGTGGCAAAATTGTTTTTTCATTAAACAATTATTATATAACATCTTGTCTTTAATGTCTGAAAAAATCTAGGTGAAATTCACTAGTGTTATACGTTAAATATTGTGATATGTTTTGATAAACCGAACGTTACGTTACATCCTCCGCTCTGGCCCCGAGAGCAGCTGCTGTGACCCCCGCTCTGACAGCTCAGTGAACGCACTGCCGTCTGGGCTCCGAGCGCGGACCATAGACACGCGGACTCACGTCTCTCTCTCTCTGCTCACGTCTCTCTCTCTCTGCTCACCTCTCTCTCTCTCTCTCTCTCTGCTCACCTCTCTCTGCTCACGTCTCTCTCTCTCTGCTCACGCCTCTCTCTCTCTGCTCACGTCTCTCTCTTTCTGCTCACGTCTCTCTCTCTCTGCTCACGTCTCTCTCTGCTCACGTCTCTCTCTGCTCACCTCTCTCTCTCTCTCTGCTCACCTCTCTCTCTCTCTCTCTGCTCACGCCTCTCTCTCTCTGCTCGCGTCTCTCTCTTTCTGCTCACGTCTCTCTCTCTCTGCTCACGTCTCTCTCTCTCTGCTCACGTCTCTCTCTGCTCACGTCTCTCTCTCTCTCTCTCTCTGCTCGCGTCTCTCTCTCTGCTCGCGTCTCTCTCTCTGCTCGCATCTCTCTCTCTGCTCGCGTCTATCTCTCTCTGCTCACGTCTCTCTCTGCTCACCTCTCTCTCTCTCTCTCTGCTCACCTCTCTCTCTCTCTCTCTGCTCACGTCTCTCTCTCTCTGCTCACGTCTCTCTC